AAGGCCGTGAACAGGCTCGGCAGCTGTCGCCCTACGTCTTTACAGTGTTGTTGCAAGCCAAACCTTATCCTCTTAATTAAGCTTTTAAGCGCCTGAGTTGCCCATTCGGTCAATCTTTTTTTCTTTCTTTAAGTAAATAACTGTGTACTCGCTCTGCAGTTCCTCAGAGAGTCTGCAAAGATCTCCGCGCAGCCAATCACAACTACAGCATGATCCTTTAATCATGTTGTAGTCGGGAAATTTCAGTGTTGCATCACCGGTTTTACAGGGAAAAAAAACAGTATTACGGAATGAGAAATCAGCACAGCACAAGATAACTGCACAACACCCTTACTAAAATAAAATGAAATATCTGACTTTAGCATAATAAAGGAACAAGTATAAAATCTCTGTCTTTAGCATATAAGAAGTAATTGTAAATGGTCTTTAGCAAAATAAAGATGTAAGTCTGAAATCCAACAACTTTGCATAATACGAAAGCAAGTTTAAAAATGTTGTGTATTTTAGTGCAACAAATATCGGTTCTGAGTATTACCTTCTGTACATTGTTAGCAGCAAGGGTCCATGGGACATGCAGTTTACATTGATATATTTATAACTTCAGGTCTGTTCAGTAAATTTTCTGTCCCACCCACATGGTCTAACCCCCTTGTTTATGGTCCATTGTGGTTTTGGTACCCGTGGATATTGTTATTTTTGTGTATTGAAATCTGCTATTTTTGAAATCCTGAATTTGATTTGTCCTTTTTGATCTGCACTCATGCCAGTGCTTCCAGAGGTGCAGATTTATCTTGCACTTTTAAGCCATTGCAAAATATGTCGCTTCCACGGGGTACTCCCAGAGCTGTTCCAATTTGGCGCTTTTGTTTAGAAGAGTAATTCCTAGTGCCATCTAGCCGTTGAGATCTTATAATTGCAGACCTAAGTTACTGACGGAAGCCTGATTTGAGGAGCACTGCTTTGACTGTGCGCCCTCAACTCTCAATCACCAGACTGCCAAGGAAAGAATACTATAGTTTGATAAATACCGGATCTCTCCAAACGGCTCGTGCACTTGACAGTCACGTGGAGAGACATGTAAACAAGCCGACATTCAGACGGGCGGCACCCGCTGCACAGAGGCTCTACCTGAGTTTTACCATCAATAATCATCCCAGCAAGGACTGTTGGGAAAACTTCTAAGTAAGTACAGATGATGGGTGAGAACCTTCCATTGCGATTTACTGTACAAGTCCTTTAAAAAAAAACTCACAAATGTTGAAATCAAAGTCTGTAGGAGTTAGACGATGGTCATTATTTATAGTGTCTGAGAGTTGAGCGTGACATAGAATCACGTAAAAGCTATTGTTTCGTTACAAGCTGGTCCTTGAAATTTTTTAGACACTCCATATACAAATAAATACTGTATGTTACCGTATTTGTCTCTTTTTTCCAAAAATATTTAAGACTAGTTCCACCCTTAATTTCATTTCATTATTTGGACTAAGGAATTGTTTTTTTATATTTAGTCAATAAATAAAGTTTCAAAAAACGTGATTATGACATTCCCATGATTCTTGTGTAGATTAAATTCGGACTAAAAAAGTGGTCAAACCCGATCCACCCCAGATGGTGTCCCTTATTTTTCTTTTCTCAAGTTGGCAACCCTACTCACGCTGCTGATGAAGAAATTCTGGCGAGATGTTTTGTTGTGGAATCGTAGTGTTTTATTTGAGTCTTTCCCTGAAAAAGTGTATATAAAACTTGTGACAGTATTTGGAGCAGCGCTCGGAACGGGTCAAACCTCCTGAGACTGTGTTGTAAATGTTCTGCCTCGTTCTATTATTGTCAGGTGTGAAAAAAGTTTCATATTAGATCACGTGTGAGTCTATTGTGTAAAACTACATCAAAGTGACTCCTGTGTGTTAAGGCTGTCTTATTGGAGCGTGTGGTTTGCGATGTTGACAGTTTGCTGCTACTAACTTTCTTGCATAATTATTTTTCTAAAAGATGGTCCCGTTAGCATTATTTCTTTTACATAACGGTTGTCCTCCATGGTTCCTTTTATTTAGCTGTGGGCCTTCATGGTTCTTCTTCCAACTTGTGAAGGGCACGGTGAAAGCAACGATATCGTGGCTCATGGTAAAACTACTCGCGATTCTCGCATCCTTTAAGAGCCCTTAACCACCAGTTTTCCAAGATGGCACATTACACGGAGAGCCACTCCCTCTCCCATAACACTTAAAGTTAAATTCTAAACCGATAATACAAATACAAAAAACATGGTGGAGTACATAAATAATTAAAAAGGGTCATAATTGTTTAATAGTTGACCTGTTTTTTTCATATGGACAGCTTTAAGCTTTATGACACTAATGAGCCCACCACTTTTGCCTTTTGCGGGCTTTTCTCAAAATGGCCGCGGGCAGAATACTGGAGAGGTGTTTACCATAGACTGTATATATTAAACGGACAGAGTCACGCCTTCTCCCGCCGTTCTTACTAATGGGCCAAAAACTGTGCTCCACTGCAGGCAATCCAAAATGCGCGAGTGGTCCCGACCCACAAGAAAATTGTGAAAAAACAGCATCTGCGCATGCGTCAGCTGACCCAGCCGCATTTAATTGAACGCTAGACTTCAAAAATACAACAGCGAGTTAACTAGAGATGACCAAAAAAATCCACCCCACTCAGCATTGACCACCTGTGACCGGAGCTTTTGGTCCAAGAGCCATCTTATGTGTCCATCCTGTAAAGTACCCCCCCCCGTTTGCGAGAGTTTCTGCCCAATGCTATAATGTTAGCAATTGCTCATGTCTTTTTTTCTGGAGTCCACCCCCATCTGCCCGGGGATGGTATAGCACGCATTCAAGCGCCACTTTTGAGCGTGGACCCGCCCCCACTGGGCGTGACAGGGGCTGAACAGGGAGGTCTGCGAGGGGGGGGGGAGTCTGCAGCAGACACTTTGGAGATAAGTGAAAAAATGAGCTGGAAGCAGACGCCTGGCGCACCAACGCCCATTCTCCAATTTTCAGACACAGAGGGTGTTCCAGACCTGCGTGGCGCCTGCCAGAAGTGTGGACTTAGATGCTAACGGAGTTAAGCTACGGCTTTTTGTGTAAAGTTTCTCCAATAATGCTGCTCGTCAGCAACTGATGTCCAGAGTCCTCCAAGACTTTATCTAACAGCAGTATGAGTTCACCGGAGGTCCGACAGAAGTATATTTTTATTATTGAACGGTAACTTCCGCATTGGCGAACCCTCTCCAAGCAGTTGTATACATTTACGGGAGCATGAGAACGCTAATGTTCAAAAGGGCCAAAAACAGAAGACCCCCATTGTCAACTCCTGGTTATTGTCCATGTGGTACAACTTCAAGCTGCAGAAGACGATACAGACCTACCTGTTGCGTTGCAAAAATGGTTCGTAGTCTGAAAAAACAAGAGACAATTGTAGTACCTAATTTTAAAAGCAAAAAAAAACCAGCATATTATCACGCTGTATAGTTGTGGGCAGTAGATAAGCCTTTTACGGACCGAAAAGTGAAGAAAGAGAGGGCCTGCCTCTTCCAGACATTGTGACGTGTAGTATGAGTCTCAAGAGAGACTTGCCCCTTCCGCTCATGTTGAATGTTCTACTGTAAAGCAATTGAATGGGGTGGGAGAGCTGCGCTGCTGGTTTTATCAGGCCTCTGCGGACGTGACTGAAGACCGCTGAGGGACTGACCGTTATTTCTGAGAGGCTGGTGCGGGGGGAGGGACGTCACAGTGATGATGTTTCTACACGAACAGGATGTAAGGAACTATAATTGTTGTCATTAAAAATAAAGACTTTGGCCCAGCTCTGAGTTCTACAAGACAGGAACAGTGTAATGTGTAGTCAAACTGTGAAAGTACAAGCAAATATGAACACTTCTATTTTTCCCAACAGATCGTTATTTCATAGAGGAGATGGTTTCTTCAGTAGTTCAGGAAAATTTGCCTTGAAATAACTTTACACTCCCAATGTTTATATTTATGTTCACTCATCATTTAACCAACCGTTTTGTGTAGAGCGCTTTTCTCTGCAGGGCTACACAAAGTGCTTTAAAGTAGATCACTGAATGCATAAATCATAAACATTAAAACCTCACAGATCATTAAAACCATTAAAACCACACAAGGGATTAAAATAATAAATAACCACAGTGCTTTGCAAAGAGTAGAGATAAAAATCCTTCAGTTGTAGGCACAGGCAAAGGAAATGTGAATAATCATTTGTAAATATTGCTTTTATCATTTATTGAAATGATTGTTTTTATCAACCTGGATCGAACACTGTCAGGGTAGACGCCTGTTTAACATTTTCAGGAAGCTTGTTCCAGATTTTAGCTGCAAAAATCTGAAACGCTGACTCCCGAGGTTTAGCCCTGACTATGGGAGCCACTAGCAGACCAGTCCCTGTGCTCTTCAGAGTCATAGGGACCATATACACACTAACAAACATTAGGCAAATGTTACATAAACTAATATCTTTAAATTAATGTAAGTGTGTACATACCATATGACTTATTATTTAGCAATTAGTAATAATAAATTATATGCACTATATGCCATTCCTTTGTGTATTATTTCGCCCCTTTGTACCTCCCACCCCGCAGACAAGTCTAAAGTTTATTATGTTGCCAACAATCAATAGTACTAATAGTAATATTTGGGTATTTAAATGATATTCCACTCTTATCGAACGGTGTACAGATTTCCATCTCATTCTGCATTAGAGAGCGCTAGTCTTTAAAACAATGTCATTAACATAATCACCTCCTTTATGTGGTACCTTTAGGTCACAACAATCTAATCATGTTCAAGATCCATTCTGTGAAGGTCACAAAATGGAGCTTAATACTGTCATGGGGCATATGCTGGTCATTTACATGACCAGCGGATATGCAGGTTGAGGACAAGTTATATTCACAACAGAAGATTCTTTGTCTATGTGGGTGGCTCTTAAAAGAGCCGTTGTGTTGTAGTCGGTCAGAGCCTTTACTTTGCCTTCTCGGTCTTCTTGGGCAGCAGCACTGCCTGGATGTTAGGCAGCACTCCTCCCTGGGCGATGGTCACTCCTCCCAGCAGTTTGTTGAGCTCCTCGTCGTTACGGACGGCCAGCTGCAGGTGGCGGGGGATGATACGAGTCTTCTTGTTGTCTCTGGCGGCGTTACCGGCCAACTCCAGGATCTCAGCGGTCAGATACTCGAGCACCGCGGCCAGATAGACTGGGGCTCCGGCTCCGACGCGCTGGGCATAGTTACCCTTCCTCAGCAGCCTGTGCACACGGCCCACAGGGAACTGCAGCCCGGCCCTGGAGGAGCGAGTCTTCGCCTTTGCTCTGGCTTTACCTGCACCTTTTCACTTTTTAAATGCCTTTATTAATAGAACACAATTATTTACAAGACAACAACAAATGTACATTGCATGCAGTAATATCAACAGTGATAATATTTACAGTGGTTTAAAATCGTAAAGTGTCCCATGGGAAGTGAGGAGAGTCGTTACGTTGCTGCTTGAGTTGTGTTATGACTTGTTTGTATATTGTGAAACTGTCAATGAAAGTTTGTGATATTGTCATTTTTGTCCGTGTTTTCCAGATTTGTACAGTCGTTATTGCAATGATGCGTTGGAAGAGTTCTTGCTGCTGTGGGGGGAGAGTTTCTTGAAGTAGTCCGTATATGATGGATCGATAAGTGATTGAAATAGTGAGTCCAAGAGTCTGTAATCGGGTCCATACTTCCTGTGAGCGGTAACAGTGAATGAGTAGGTGGTCCAGAGTCTCGTCGTTATTGCAGTTCGGCATTGGGCATAATTTGGTTTTTACATAGCAGCTCCAGGACACGATGGCTCTCACCGGGAGTCTGTTTACGGCCATGAGCCACCGTGAGTCCCGGATGGTCTGCTCCTGGGGTTTGTTAAAACGTTTTATGACACTTTCAGATTCATAACCATTACAATCTTTAAAAACAACAATATCACCGTACATTTTTTCACACATTTTAAAATACAACATTTTCGAAGGGAGCCCATTATAATCTAAAGGGTTTTTATGGGTAAAATCACCGTATAGAAGTTTATAATAAGGCCCTTTACGAGCGCGACCCACCCGCCTCCTCCACTGCGTCACCTCACCGACCCACGGGGCGCCGCGGGCAATCGCCAAAGAAACATTTTTAATGAAGGCTAAAGTTAATTTGGTTTCTAGGTTCACAGCTCCTAAGCCTCCCAAGGCCTTATCTTTAAAGAGTAGGTTGCGTTTGGTCACTTCTCTGGTGGTGCTCCAGATAAAGTTCACACAAGATTTATTGAGTTTCATCATTATTTTTTTGGGGGGTGGGAAAACAGTAGCTAAGAATAATAATTTAGATAAAATACGACATTTAATAATATTTATTTTTAGTTGATAAGATAGCTTTTTGTTTTCCCATTTTTTAATCTCGATTTTAATCTCATCATATTTTGTATTCCAATTTCTTTCTACTGTATTATTGGAAATGGAGATGCCCAATATTTGTATTTGTTCACGCGTTGTGATATTTATAGGGGTTTTTTTGTGCTCCTCACCGATCCAAACTGCCTCGGACTTACTGTGGTTGAGGATGGCCCCAGAGGATCTTTCATAGAGATTTAATATACACTTGAGTTCACTGAGTTCTGACTGTGTTTGGATGATGACTGTAACGTCATCGGCATATGCTAATGTTTTGATAATGTTGTGGGGCGTGAGTTCGATTCCTTTGATGGAACTGGATTTGATGAAGGTGAGTAATGGGTTTATTGCTAAAACATAGAGTGCAGCACTGAGCGGGCAGCCCTGCTTCACTCCGCGGTGAATGTTTAAAGGTTCAGTTAAAACCCCATTTACATTTATTTGCACACTGGTTTTAAAATATAGGCATTTAATCATGTTAATAAAATCTGTGGGGAAGCCATATTTGGACAGGACAGCCCACAAATAGTCCCGAGATACAAAATCAAAAGCTTTCTTTTGGTCCAGACCAACAATATAAAAGTTCTGTTCCTCTTTATCTTTATACAGTAGTTCACGCAGCGCACACACATTGTCCCACATGAGACGGCCTCTGATGGCACACGTCTGCTGTTTCTCTATGACGTCCTCTAGGACGTCATTCATGCGGTTCATTAGTATTTTTGCTAAGATTTTGTAGTCTGTGTTCATCAGAGTGAGATGTCTGTAATTATTGATGTCTTCTTTCTCACCCTTTTTATACAGGAGACACATCACTCCCTGGTAGAAGGACTCTCCCATCTGACCTTTCTTTAAACCTTCGTTAAAATACGCAGTTAATAAATCTGTGACATTAGTTATATATAATTGATAAAACTCTGTGGGCAGTCCGTCTGGACCTGGACTTTTGCCAGAGTTAAGTTGTTTTATAGCACAAAGGACCTCTTCTTCAGTGATGTCTCCGAGTACGGGGCTGACGTCACAGTCTGGGGGAGACAGCTCTAACATAGACAGCGTGGGTTGCCCGGAGCTGGGAATCAACACCCCCACTCCTCTCCATGTGTTCAGCAGCGCCCTGGTTCGGACCCATCCCTGGATGAGCCCGCTGGTTCTGGCCATGGACACCGAGCGCCCTCTCCGCGGCCGCGTCCACTCTTCGCCCCGACTACTTTGATTGTTGGAGATTCCATCGTGAGGCACGTCCGCTTTTTTAACGCGGTCACTCACTGCATTACCGGAGCCACTGTACCAGACCTGCTCATCCGTCTCCCTCCTCTGCTTCAGTCCCTGCCTGATACCATTTCAAAGGTAATCGTGCATGTGGGGATCAACGACATGAAGCTGCAGCAGTCCGAGGTCACAAAGAAGCATTTTATGGATCTATTCCGCCTCCTCCAGTCCTTCGGGTTGTGTGTTTTTATCTCTGGTCCAGTCCCGACTGTAAACCGGGGAGACTGCTTGTACAGTCGCGTTGTGGCGCTCAACATGTGGCTCCAGTCTACATGCAGCACTTTTAACTTTATTTTTGTGAACAACTTTGGCCTGTTCTGGAAGCGTCACGTGGCCTATCGTCCAGATGGTCTGCACCCGAACAGATACGGCACCAGTTTGTTGACGGACTTCCTACGCCATGTTGTTCAGTGCTCCCCGAGGGGGGCGTGACTGTTTACATCCGAGGCTTCTCGGCCCCCACTACCCCCCTCCTCCTCCTCCTTACCAGCACCGGGTGAGTACTGTGGTGCAAACACTGACCCCTGTCAGTCTGGCAGTGTAACGACAGTCCTGCCACTGAACTGTGCTGACTCAGTTATGCATCTGGAACTTAACAAAGTACAACAGAGTTCACTTTTTAAACCAATAGAGACTGTGTGTGTTTCTCGCACCAGCTCAGAAATGTGTTTTAACTTGAATAAACACAAATTTAAAAGGACAGCAGTTAGACGGTCCAACTCTGGAAATCTAACTCCAGTTCTTTGTAATCAATCAACTAAACCCATTGACACTGATATTAATTTTAACCTTGCTCTACTTAATGTCAGATCACTATGCAACAAATCATTTTTAATTAATAATTTTATCTGTTCGTATGATCTTGATTTTATGTTTATGACTGAAACATGGCTTGACCATAATACAGGAGATGCAGTTTTAATAGAAACAACACCACCAAATTTCAAATTTGAACATGAAACACGAGAAAATAAAAGGGGGGGGGGCATAGCAGCAGTTTTTAAAGATCGTATTGTCTCCCATAGAGTGTCTCTTGGGAAATTTTCATCATTTGAGTATGTTTCTTTTAAAATAGAACAAAAGAAATCTTCTTCCATTCTTATTATTGTTGTGTACAAGCCGCCACAGTCATGCCATAGTTTCACTGATCATTTCACTGAGTTGCTTTCAGTTGTGTGCACAGATTTTGATGGTTTGGTCATTGTAGGTGATTTCAATATACATGTAGATAATGCTAATGATAGATATGCAATAGAGCTGAGCTCTGTGCTGGAAACCTTTGGTCTCACTCAGCATGTGAGTGGCCCCACCCACAGCAGAGGACACACTCTCGATCTGTTAATTAATATTTCAAATGTAAATGTGGTCAATGGGTCTGATCATTTCTGTGTATTTTTTAATATTTCAAATGTAAATGTACAGGCGAACTGTTCAATGTTGAACACTCTGTCTGATCATTTCTGTGTTCTGGATACAATTTTTTGAAATGTACAAACAAGCAAAAAGCGCCATGGTCTTGATTGTAAACCAGTTGACCAGAGATCTTCTGAATTTTAACAGGGAACTACTTCGAGGGAAATGTTTCTGAAACTAGAAGCAACAATCCTACGTGTTCTGTTTTCAACAGTAAATAGATTGACGAATCCCCCTGTTAAGATGCCATCAGAACTTACTTCCAAATCTAAATGTAATGAGTTTGCTCAGTTCTTTAATGACAAAGTCCAAGGTATCAAAAACGCCATCACCTCCACGATAGAAATAATAATCCAACCGCCAGTGAGGCTTTTTGGGCTGACGCACTTTACACCAGTACAAATTGAAACTGTCCAGGAGATAATCACTAGTCTGAGTTCCTCCACATGCAGCCTGGATGTATTACCTCCTAGATTTCTCAAGTCAGTTCTGAGCAGTCTTTTACCTTCACTTACACAAATAGTTAATATGTCTCTTGAATCTGGAACATTCCCAATGGCCTTGAAAACGGCGGTCATCAGGCCCCTCCTAAAAAAGAGGAGTCTGGAAGCCCTGGCACTCAAAAATTATCGGCCCATTTCAAATCTGCCTTTCATGGGAAAAATTCTAGAAAAAGTTGCCTATAAACAACTTACAGAATTTTTAATAATCAATAACGCTTATGATATGTTCCAGTCAGGGTTTAGACCCCACCACAGCACTGAGACCGCGCTAATAAAGGTAACAAATGACATCAAACTAAACACTGACGCAGGAAAAGTCTCAGTCCTTTTTCTGTTAGATTTAAGTGCTGCTTTTGACACTATTGATCATGGCATCCTCATTTAGAGACTTGAGGACTGGGTTGGTGTTGCTGGCACCGCCCTAAGCTGGTTTAGGTCCTATTTACAAGACAGAAAGTTTTTTGTGGAGATCGAAAACTGTACCTCAGACCACTTGGCCCTGACCTGCGGAGTGCCACAGGGGTCAATCCTGGGTCCTCTTCTGTTTAATATTTACATGTTGCCTCTAGGTCAGTTGATTCACAGTAATAATGTCTCTTATCACAATTACGCTGACGATACTCAGGTCTATGTGTCCCTGACAGCAGGAGAGCATGAACCTTTGGACTCGCTCCTTCACTGTGTCCAGCAAATCGGTGATTGGATGCAAAATAACTTTCTCCAACTAAACACCGACAAAACTGAAATAATTGTTTTCGGACCCCAGAAACAAAGAGAGAGCGTTATTTGTCACCTCCAGGCTCTCTCTCTACAACCCTCAAATCAGGTCAGAAATCTAGGAGTGATAATGGACTCAGACTTAAATTTCAAAAGCCACATAAAATCTGTAACATCAGCAGCTTATTACCACCTAAAAAACATTGCTAAAATTAAAAACATAGTGTCTAAGGCAGACTTGGAGACTCTTATACACGCTTTTGTCTCCAGTCGGTTAGACTATTGCAATGGCCTGCTCACAGGTCTGTCCAAACAGGCTGTAAAACAGCTGCAGTACATTCAACATGCAGCAGCTCGAGTCCTGACCAGAACTAGGAAGTACGACCACATTAGTCCAGTTCTCAGGTCTCTGCACTGGCTTCCTGTTCCTCAGAGAATAGACTTCAAAGCAGCTTTACTTGTGTACAAGTCTCTCCATGGTCTCGCGCCAAGGTACATCCATGACATGTTTGTGCCATATGAACCGACCCGGACTCTGAGGAGCACAGGGACTGGACTCCTGTTAGTGCCCAGAGTCGGTACTAGACATGGGCAAACTGCATTTCAGATTCATGCGGCTAGAGTCTGGAACAGTCTTCCTGAGAATGTGAGACAGGCGTCTACTCTGGCATCTTTTAAATCTAGGCTCAAAACAATTCTGTTTAGCTGCGCATATACAACTGAATGATTTTATCTTTTCATCTTTGTTTTTATCTTTAATCTTTTTAATGCACTGTGACTATTTATGATTTTAGTCCCATCTGTGATTTTAATGTTTAAAGGTTTTTAATTTTTGTGATTTTATTTTTAATGTTTTTAATATATCTTGTGCTCTTAATGTGTTTGATTTATGCATGATGTGATAGGGGATGTGAAGCGCTTTGCGTTGCCTTGTGTAGGAAAGGCGCTCTACAAATAAACGTTGATTGATTGATTGATAGACCTCACAGACTCAGGGTCAACTCTAATGTCTCTATAAGAGTCTAAAAGAAGCTCTCTGATCAGTTCCCTCTTCTTTCTTTCATTCAAAATGAGATTCCCAGAGTGGTCTCTAACTGCTTCAATGCGTTTGTTTTGAATATTATCTTTGCTGGACTTTACAACTTGAGTGATGTTACACTGTCCATCGACCTGAGCACTTTTAAAAACATTAAACAAGAGCTCAGCATTAATAGCATTAATTTGAGATTTTACCTCTTTCATTCTGACCTCGTCTTCAGGGGAAGCGTCTTTACGCTGCTTTAATGTGATACATTCTTTTACTAACTCATTGTATATACTATTTTTACATTTATTAATTTCTTTACACTTGAATTTAAAAAAAATTGCGACTCTACTTTTTAAAAGTTCCCACAGTTCAGTGTCAGATTTAGTTAATATTTTCAGCTGCGTGATGACCGCTATTTCCTTTTTGAGTTCGTTTATTAACTCTGGGTATTTGAGACAGCTAACGTTGAGCTTCCAGAACCCTTTATGTTCGACTGGACCAAAGCAGACATTGGAACAAACAATAAGGTGATCAGAGAAATCAGTCAGAATGGTTTTATATGACATTATAGCTACGTTACTGGACGTGTAGATTCGGTCTATTCTAGTTTTGACTTTGGAGTCAAACCTGGTAAAACCATAGTCATTTGGATACAGAGTTCTGAATGCATCTTTTAAATTATGGTCACTGCTGATTTTAAGTAAAGCGTTTCCTTCTTTTCTTATTTTATGACTTGTGCTCCCGATGCGGTCTTTTTCTTCAGTTATTATGTTAAAATCCCCACATATAATAGTTGTAAAATTTACATTTAAAATTTCATTCAACTTCCTCAAAAGTTTACTTTTTTTGTGAAACTGTTGTGACGTATACACATTTATGAGTCTCATTTTTTCATTGTTAAACACACAGTC